TTGAGATAAGGCATTTTGCTCAGAGCACACATTTAAAGAAGTGTAACATTTCTTATTAACTAGTTTAGTTTATAATAATAACTCTACTTGCTGCACTAAAACATTTCAAGATGGCAGAACAGCCTTTCTTAAACCTAAAATAAGGTAAATATGTAGCTTAATAAACTATAAAGAAATATAACCTGCAATGACTGGTGGTGATACTTGAGTTGTCTGTCCTGTAACTGCTTTACTATTAATTGGTTTTGCAAAGATCAGCTTCGTGATTACTGGACCAGAGGTTGGTGTTCGTGGCTTCTTAGCAATCTGAAATATATAAATAACTATGAAGGCCATTTGTTTCCGTAAAACAGCTATTCAATCAAAATTAAACAGAAGACTGATATACAGAAGTACATGTGAAACCAGCTCATTTAACAGAATATATCTATGTATTAATGTTAAAAACATCTAAAATGCAGCCATTCATCAAAATACTAGTAAGATCCCACTCTTAAGCCCATATATAGCAATACCTTTGCATTTTATTGTAAATCCTTATTTTAGTCACAAGGATAATATGCATGTGATGAAAACCAAATGAGTATTTAAAAATAATTTTAATGTTTAATAATACTTATTTAATAAATAATAATAATAAAACATTATGACGCAGCAATATTCTTTCTCAAAATAACAAATTGTTCAGTAATAAAAAGATAGAGTGAGTAAGAAAGCATAGTGTAAATGATGAAGCCACCTGTAAATGCAATTACATTGGCCCCTGGAAGCAAAATATGAATACACATTAAAGACAAGCTTATGATTAGATCTTCAGCTTTAGATCTATATATCAGGGTAGATAAACAAAGAACTGAGTAGGTTAATACCCTAAGTTACAAAGAGACAAGTTTGGCAAAACAGATTTTTAAAGACAAAGTCTCTAGCAATATCATTTGCTAAAATACTGTTTACTAGACTTTAATTCTTTGAAGGTAGGGTCTATATTTATTCATCCCTGATCTTAAAATTATATTGAAACACTGTTCACCAAAACTAAAATTCTCCACAAGTCAAGGAGGGTAGGGTTATCAATGTTTTAATATTGAAATTATCAATGTATACAAAGATATAGCTTCTTCTAAAAGTTAAAAGCAGAAATTTAGTTATAATAGGGAAGACATTAAATATTATTTTGTCAAATATGAAAACTGAAGCCCTGAAATTGCTATTATTGGAAATAAAGACTTAAAATGAATAAACATGACCAATCTGAATAACATAAATATACCAGAAGCTACAATGGATCACAGAACTAGATAAACATCAGCTTTGTGCTCAAATTATAAATAACACATTACCTTTATACTTAGAATATGTTACTTTCTTACACTTGGAACATGTTACTGACAAAACAAAATATAAATGAAATACAAATCATTTAAAAAAATAAAATAAAACAAGGAGATCCATTACTATATATAAAAAAAAATACCCAGCCCGGGGCGCCTGGGTGGCTCAATCAGTTAAGCATCTGACTTTGGCTCAGGTCATGATCTCACAGTTCATGAGTTTGAGCCCTGCATTGGGCTCTGTGCTGACAGCTCAGCTTGGAGCCTGGAGCCTGCTTCGGATTCTGTGTGTGTCTCTCTCTGCCCCCCGCTGCTCACATTCTGTCTTTCTCACTCTCTCAAAAAAAAAAAAAAAAATTAAATTAAAAAAAAAAAACCTGGCTTGCAAAACTTATATACCCAAATAAATGTTAGAAAATTGATGCAATTTGGGAGACATACAAGAGATATATTTCCCAACTGTATTTATAGGCCTAAAATTTTAAAATAAGTCAGAATATATCATCTATTGACATAGTACTAATAATCTCTAAAAATAAAAGTATTGATGTTCTTAGAAAACCATGTCTTATAATAAATATTCTTTTAGGAGCTTAGAGTATTTCTCCATTTTTAATTGATTTTCACAATCATATGACTATATGAATACTTACCAATCAAGAAAATATGTAAACAATACAACCAAAGGCACTTTAATTATTCAAACGAATAACTCCAATTTGACCCTGTGGCTACATTTCTTTAGTGGCTCACTGCTGAAAGTAACAATGTATATAATTCCTTCAAGGAACCATACGTTTTGTATTATAAATCTGAACTACTCTAGAACAAAATTATTAAGTAAAACAAAGGATAAAGTATGACTTTTAATAAATTTATCAAATCAACAAATAAAGGCAAAAATGAATCAAAAAAGGAAATTTACAAATACAGCCAAATATATGATCAAATAATACACGCAGTTAATTATTGGCACTGTATTGTATAGGTTCAGCAACTAATAAGGAGCTATAATGCTCCAAACTGTTAGTTATTAATTACTTATATACTACACACAAGAAACATGGGAAAGTGTTTATATATCTGTAATTAAGTGTAACTATACCTCTTTGTTACTGCCTCTGGCCTCAACTGTCACCTCTTTCCTTCATTTTTCAAGATGGGTCTCCTTCTTCCACCCTTACCTGCTGTCCATACCCTAACAGTTTCAATACTCTGATTAAACTTAAGACAACGCTGAGGATTGTCTAGGAAAAAAACCAGAGAATCATATACACCGTGTAATACTAAACCAAATATTCTGGTGCCTAAAGAGGAAACATACAGATGTGTGGCCTCTTATGGGGTTTTTTTCTACGCTTTAGAGCTTTGTAGCTTTTTACTTTTGAATTGGAAAGATTTGAGTTGCCTAAAAATAACTGGACAAGTAGAACAATATTCTAGTTGGGGTTTCTTTTTTGTTAGTTTTTTTTTTAAAGTTCTTTTTTAATAAATAGAAACAGGTTTTATAAAAGTAACAATAAATGCTTTCATTGTTAGTACTTTAGTACTTAGGGGACTGTAGTAGAAACCCTGTAGATACAAGTAAACTGGTTGTGAAACAGCATATATACATTGCTCTAGTAAATGAAAAAAATGACCTTCTGATTTTTATTATCAGTTTATTGTGAACGTGGTTATGATCTACATCTCCAAAGCCAGATATACTCTGGTAAACTAATAAAAATAAGTTTTAAAACTGATTTAAAAAAACAAGCCAAGGACAAGATGCTTGATGTTGTTAGTATATCTCATTCAAGAGATTCTCTTCAAAAGAAGTAAAAGGAGGTCAGAGATAAATGAGACATGATAATGAACAAGATAGAAAAGAGCATTAAATATTTAATAGTGGCAGGAGGAACATGGGCAAAGTACAAGGTTTCAGAAATCATACGAAGTGCTTAAATAAAAAGCCCAAGAAAAATAAGTTTCCAGTTATTTTCTCAACATAATAACTAAAACATTATTTCTAGTATCAGCTGAGTATGGATAGTTCCCCAAATTTTCCTACTTCCATATGTACCTGCATGAGTTCTCTAACTCATACTTTCTCGTTTTTTTCTGAAAGGTGAACCTTTCAAACAGGGAATGCATTTCTGTTTCCTGATATTGAGAGGATCATTTTATTTTAAGAACAGTGGTGACCTCAAAAGGCCTATTTGAGCATAAAAAACTGGGAACCATTTAATGTATGTTCTGTTAACCTTCTATCTTAGGATCCTATCCATACTAATAACAGGAACCATTCTGAAGGATCCTCAAAGTTTTGAGAACTACATCAGTACTATCTTTTACTATGTATTTCATCATGATCAAAGAGCCGTCTTCCAGCTAAAGTCTAAACTTAGAGAAGTAACCAACCCAAAGTTCCACAGGTGATAGGGAAGCACAGAGGTCACTCAAATCCAGCTGATCCAATTCTAAAGCCAATGTTACCGTCCATCAATGTGACACTGCCTTTTCCACACTGCAAACACAAGTGATGGCAATGGACAGTAAACTGCAAAGAGGCGGCACAGGCTGCCTAGTATGTACTATTACTGACTCCAAGGGTTTCTCAGAGCAGCAAGTTTTCCTAGACTTTGGCCATCTGTTAACTGAAAAAAATTATGTCTGAATGATTTTTTGACAGCCTAGCAGCAACTCTGGTATCTTTATACCAGCAGAGCATACTTGCAATCAAACTACTACTAAGAATAAAATGCATTTAAAAATGAGGAAAAAGCTATAAATACACTAAATTGAAAATTTAACAAAAATTAAGTTTGCCCTAAGTCCTCTAGCAAACATTTTCAAAGCATTAGACATGTCAAGTTTTATAAAAAAAAAAAAAACCCACAAAATTACTAAAAGCAACATTCAAAAGAATTCAGTAACAACTATGCATTTAATTACCCTACAAACACAACTATGAATCAATTTAATTTTTAACATGCATTTGAATTAATAAGCCCCCTTTTTTTTTTTTTTTTTTTTTTTTTTTTTTTACCTGTACTGTTTTTAACTGTTGGGTCTGTAACACAGAGGGCTGAGTTGTTGTATTAATCAGTTGACTTCCTGGGGTCAATGCTGAGACACCAATGACAGGTTTCACCTCTGGCCTCCCTCCAATGGTAACTACTTTAATTTGCTGCGGTGGTAACTTAGCATCTCCTGACTGGGCCTGAGTTGTAACTTTCTGAGCCTGGGGTAGTTGGCTATGGGGTAGTGCTAAAACAATTGGTGAACCAGACTTGCCCAAAGTTGTTAAAATTAACTTCTGTCCATCTGGTTTAAGGGTCTGATTGCCAAGTTTAAGATCTGATGTCTGTGATACTTTGTTTAAAATAATCTGATTGGCTGATATAGTCACAGGAGTCTGAGCACCAAGTTTTTGAAGGCCACTTGGAAAAGCTGGTTTCACTGTGGTATTAGAATCTGCTTTAGTAATTGTGGTATTCACTGCAACTTGGTTAGTGTGGTTACTGTACACTGTGATTGGTTCCGTGGAAATGGGCGTGGCTGTAGAGTCACCAGTAGAATTTATGTTGACAATTTCTTCCAGTTCTGTCTCCATGGGAATTGGGGATGAAACAATAACAGCCTCAATACTATCATCATCCACTAAAGTTATACCAGTGTCCATTATCTCCTCTGGAAGCAAACTATTCACCTCGGCTGGCACCACCTCCATGATCGTTCTCCAGCTAGTAAGTTGATCAGGCGCTGAAATAAAGTTGAAAATCAATACGTTACTAGTTTTCAAAACAGATTTAAGAAAAAAAATTATTTAAAAAAAATGCAAGTGACAAAATCATCATTTATTACTGATGTATAACTGAGTGAAGGATATTCCTGATGTCTGTTTGGTTTAAACCACTTCAACATATCCTCGAACCTCAAGAATCTGAAATAAGTCATATGGCACACAAAACTAGAAGTAAATATTCTCATTCACCATGTCTCAATCCAAAAGTATACTGCATTCAAGCAACATTAAGTAACATAATTACAGGAAACTCCTTTCCAATGCCCACTCTTAAAGTCTTCAGTCTTTGATATGTCTGCTAATCTTATTTCTTGCCAATTATTTTTCTAACTGACAAACTTAAAAATTGCTGATTCACACAAAGGAAGATTTAAATGTAAGCAAATATTGGGAAATATCTTCAAATCTCTAGGGAGCTAGGTCCTATAATGAGGGTAGTTTACCATCTATAAAAATCCATTAAATACTCAAAGTAATGTTAAAGGAGTTCTAGAGTAATCCATCTCAGCAAGTGCAGATTAAATGACTTATTTGGCTCAAGTCTGATCAATTAGCTTCATACCAAAAAAAAACTTCATTTGGAAAGAAGATTCTCAAATCCTCCTTAGCCATTTAAAATGTCAAAAAAAAGAACCATTTAAAAGGCATAAAAGTCAGTCGCATTACAAAAAAAAGTGGTAATAATAATAAAGCAGATTACGAACAAATCAGAACCATGATACTTTTATTTATTTAATGTTTATTTTTGAGACAGAGTGCTAGTGGATGCGCATGCATACGTGCGAAGGGAAAGGGCAGAGAGAAAAGGGGACAGAGGATCCAAAGTGGGCTCTGAGCTGACATCAGTGAGCCCATCAGCCCGATGTGGCGCTTAAACTCATGATCCATGAGATCATAACCTGACCTAAAGTTGGACATTCAACCGAGTCACCCAGGCACCCCAGAACTGTGACATTTTTAGCCAAAGGTTATGCAAAACGTCCAATAAAGGAGTCAGTACCCTTATCTTCACATATTAAAGAGAGTACATCATGTTCATAACTGACTAAATAATAATGTTACTTGGCCATACAACATTAAAAATCCATAGGAACCTAATCAGCAATTCTTTCTCTTCTTCCATTTTTTAAAATACAAAAATGCAATACCCATTCTGAGATTAAGAGTAACAGACATAAGCAACCAATTATAATTAATTATTAGCATTGACAAATACTAATAGTGCCAAAATTCATCATTATTGAGTGCTTGCTATAAACCAATGATATCATAGTTTATCCTCACAACCATTCTGAGACAATATCATTACCACTGCCATATTACAGATGAAGAAACTTCAGTTATATAATCTGCCTAAGGTCACATAACTAGTAAATGATAGAGCCCAGACTCAAACTCAGGATATGTTTTATGATACCAAAGTTCATCATTTTAATCACAAATTACATTGCCTTAAACTTTTACCACCAGTATTTTTTAAATGAAGAAAAAACAAGTCTACTCTTTTAGTAAATCCCCTAACCCCAAAAATCCCACCCTACACAACCAGTATTCTGTCTCTACAGATTAGTTTTGACTTTTGGCCCTTCTAGAATTTCACATAAATGGAATCATATATTATGTAACTTGTAACATAAAGGAGCCATACAATATGAGATTTATCTTTATTCCTTCACTTACTATGAGTTCTGTTCCTTTTTATTGCTGAGTAATATTCTATCATATGAATTAACCACAATTTGTCTATCCATTCACCTGTGAATGGACATCTGGAGTGTTTCCAGTTTGGGATTTTTATAAATACACTGCTAGTTTGTTATGGATATATATTTTCATATTTTCTGAATAAAGACAAAGAAGCAGACTTGCTGGGTCAAAAGGTAAATTTTATTTTTAACTTTCCATGAAATTGCCAAACTATTTCCCAACTTGGCTGTACCACTGGATACAGCCACCAGCAATGTGCAAGAGTTCCAGCTGCTCCACATCCTCGCTAGCGACTGGTATTATCAGTCCTTTTAATTTTAGCCATTCTAATGGGAGTGAAGTGGTATCTCGTTGTGGTTTTCACTTGCAATGCCCAAATGACTAACAGTGAGCATCTTTTTATACGTGCAGTGTATTTGTGTATCTTCTTCTGAAAAGTGCCCGTTAAAATCTTTTGCCTTTAAAAAAAATACTGGGGGGCACCTGGGTGGCTCAATCGGTTAAGCATCCGGCTTTGGCTCAGGTCATGATCTCGTGGTTCCATGGGTTCGAGCCCTGCATCGGACTCTGTGCTCGCAGCTAGCTCAAAGCCTGGAGCCTGTTTCAGATTGTGTCTCCCTCTCTCTCTGACCCTCCCCTGCTCGCGCGCTCTCTCTCTCTCTCTCTCTCAGAAATAAATAAAAAACATTAAAAAAATTTTTCTAATAAAAAAAAATACTGGCTTGGGGGTAGGGGTGAGGGGAAGGGGGGGTGATGGGCATGGAGGAGGGCACTTGTGGGGATGAGCACTGGGTGTTATATGGAAACCAATTTGACAATAAACTATTTTAAAAAACTACTGGCTTTTTTTGTCTTCTTATTGAGCTGGATAAGCTCTTTATATATACTCTAAAATCATCAGTCACAATAACCTGTAGCTCACAGGAATCACTACTATTTTGAGACCCCAAAGTACTAACACCTCTCTATATGCAGCTCTTTCTCATCAGGAGAATCCCCTCAGATATTTGTGGGAATTTAAAGTAGACATGTAAAAACATCAACACCAATTATACCTTTAGCAATGGGAGTCACAACAATAGTACACAACAACAAAGGGCCTGACCCACCATGTCCCATTAGCTTTCCTTCCCTACTGCAAACCTTGCCCAGACCCCATCAGTTCCTTCTGTAGACTCTATTCTCCACAGAACAAGGCCGATGATGACTTGGGTGCCAGTATCCAACAGAGTTTAACTCCCTGCTCTGAAGCTCCACCAGCATATTTACACATGTAGGTATGGCCTTTGGTCTCCCCTTAAGGACAGGGAGATCTATGCCCAACCTCTATTCATCTCTCTCCTTAAAGCACCTAAAGTAGGGGTAGGAGGAGGGAGAAGTCAAGTCACAGAAAGAGACAGCGGTTTGGCAAGGAATTTACTTTCAGTTTCAAGTACCCACAGTTCCAACTCAACTAAACAAACTTCTAACTCACCCAAAATTCTACATCCTATGACACCGTTATCTCAGCTTTGGGGACTCCTTAACTCAGCGACTAGAGACACACTGCCTTTCAGCTGGGGCTTTGGAGCTGAGTGTACAACAAGCAAAGCACCATTTGGGTTCTCAGTTCAGACCCTAAATATCCATTAAGAGGTAGAACACTAGAATACGTATTCCCCATGCCACCCTTGCCCACCACTTGGGTGACAGCATTCACTACCAGATGCCAGAATCTTTTCATGTTCCCTAACCTAGCTGACATGGCTCTCATCCTTCCTCTTTCATAAAGCTATTTCTCTGCCAGCACTCCATTTTCATGGCCCAAACTGCCAAGAGCTGTGAGCAATCTGAGATTTTAAACCCTCTTTGTAAGCTAACAAAGTATCCTGTTACCATTTCACAGCTACTGGCAGACCACACAGTACTCCTAGGTAGAGACACGGGACTTACTGCAGTACAGCAAGGAACATGAGAGCACCATGTGTATTTGAGTTCTTCCAGTTGCCCACAAGTTCCACAGGGTAGATATGGAGAGGCTCGGGTAGATGCTTACGCAGGCAAGAGGTTTGGATCACAACTAAGAGCCCTGAGCTCAGAGAACCAGATTCATTTATAATGGACTGAAGCACACCTGCCCTTTCGTCCACAGGAAGATATTATCTTTATTATACTGCATAATAAGCATATCTGCCCTTGGCTACAGCACAAGTCACTACTTCTATCATTCAGGGCTATATGCTATACAAACATCCTAGAAATGATCATTTAAATGGTTAGTCACCGCCTCACATGCAAGAGGTGCAGGAATGCAAAGAGTAATGGAAAACTATCTCCCAATAGTATATCTCTCTACCTACTTATCTCAGTCATGTTTTATTCTTCAACAAATTGTCTTGCACATAAATTTATCCCTAAGCATTTCATGGTTTTTGATGGATTGCAAAAGGTCTTTTTTCTTCCACTTTCCAATTGCTGCTAGTAAATAGACTTTTTTTTTTTATATTGTCCATGTATCCTACAACCCAGGTAAACTCACTTATTAATTTTAGTAGCTTTTTGATGTAGATCCCTTAGGATTTTCTACAAACATAATCCACACTGTTTGAGAATGTCTGTATTTCTTCCTTTCCAATCACCACGTCTTTTATTTCTTTTCCTTGCCTTACTGCACTGACTTAAGACCTCCAATAAAATGTTGAATAAAAGTGGCACGAGCAGACATCTTTGCCTTGTTACCAATCTCATTTGTTAGCTGTGGGTTTTTCATAAATTCCCTTTCTCAGGTTGAGAAAGCATACTTATATTCCAGTTTGCAGAGTTTGGCAGGGTTTTACCCCCCAATCATAAATGAATATTTTTGTCATATGCTTTTTCTGCAAATAATGAGATAATCACACGGCTTTTCCTTTTAGCCTTTGAATTATATTGACTTTTTTATTATTAAGCCAATTTTGCATTCCTGAAATAAGCCCTACTCAGTCATGATGTATTATACTTTGCATATTTCCTTGAATTCTATTTCCTAATATTTTGTCTGCCCTCATGAGGGACACTGGTGTGTAGTTCTTTCTCCTATAGTGGCTGTCTGGGGATAACGCTAGCCTATCAAATGTGTTGGGGCATGTTACTTCCTCTTCAATTTTCAGAAAAAGTCAGCATAGAATTGTTACTATTCCTGAAATGTTTGTTAGAACTCAACAATGAGGCCATATAGACATAAATCTTTCTTATTTTTTAAAGTATAAATTCAATTTCTTTGGTAGATGTAGAGTTATTCAGGTTATTCAGTAGCCTTAGATATCTGATAGTTTGTGTCCTTCAAGAAATTTATCTATTTCCTCTAAGTTGTCAAATTTGTTAGCATTTGGTTATACATAATATTCTTTTATGTTACTGTCTGTAGAAATGTCAACTCTTCAATCCTCATTTTGGTAATTTTTGTGTTTTTTCTTTTTTTTTTTTTCATTAGTCTGACTGGAGATGTATCAATTTTATTGATCTTTTCAAAGAACCATTTTGGCTTCACTGATATCTCAATTATTTATTCATTTTTTATTTAGTTAACTGTTACCTTTATCTCCTTCCTTCTGCTTGCTTTTCATTTAATTTGTTCTTTTAGAAGCTTAAGATGGAAGCAAAGATCAGGGTTCAGTAAACCATAGTCCACAGACCAAATCGAGGCCATTGTTTACTGCTCTCCAGCTAAGAATGGTTTTTATATTTTTAAATAGTGGGGTGGGGGGTGGGAGGGAGTATATATAAATTATATAAAACAAATTTAAATAGCCTCCAACTCCTAAAATAGTTCCTATCTGGCTCTTCGTAGAAAAAAAGTATGTCTAAAATCTTAGTTTCACTGATTTTAAACTTTTCTTCTTTCTTAAAATAAACAATATTAAAAATCTGCCTCAAACCTCTAGCTGCATTCAGTATGTTTTTATGATTATTAACTTCAAATATTTTCTAATATTCCATGTGATTTTATCTTTGAACCATGGAATAAAGACATGCTAATTAAATCCCAAATATTTGAGGATTTTCTATCTTATTATTGATTTCTAATTTACTAGTTATTGCCAAAGTGATACTCTACAACATTTCCATTATTTCAAATTAGAGACTCGTATGGCTCAGGATATGGTCTATCTCAGTGAACACTGCATGTGCACCTGAAAAGAGCATGTATTCTACAGTTGCTGAGAGCAGTGTTCTACAAATGTCAATTATATCAAGTTGGTTGATAGTGTTGTTCATATCTTCTATATTGTGACTTTTTCTTCTATCAATTACTGAGAAAGACTGTTAAAATCCCTAAATATGATTGTGGATTTGTCTTATTTCTCCTTGTCTGTGCATTTTTGCTTCATATATTTTGAAGCCTGCTATTCAGAATGTCTTTTTATTTATCCTGTTTAAAAAGACTAGAAATTACAGGACTAGAGTCTCCCTTGAACTAGGAGTAAAGTTCAAACTTCTAACAAGAAAAGGTCTGATCGATTTGGCCAGTCTCTATGCAGTATGGGGCTGTGCAGAATTCTGGAGTCAGCACACCTCAAAGCCACTGAGCAGACTATGATAAATGCTTTACAGTTAGACATCTATATCTGTTTCAGTCAGGGTCACATGCAAGGCATGGTGGCCTGTGCTAAAAGAAACTCTGAAAAGGAGCTGCGGGCATGGCAGGAAAGGGTTTGGCCATGTAGCTACATGAATCATCACTCTAATTTTATCCCCTAGGAATGGAAGATATGTATTAGCACATGCAACCTCATCATCACTGGGTTGAGGACCACTCCAAGAAAAGAAAGGGCTTTCACAAGCCAATAGGACCAAGCTTTACTTCACCTCATCGGTACAAAGTTACACGCCAAGGTATGGTAGGGAAGAAGTCAGAACATACAATGTATTCCTCATGCCTCCAGTATTTTGTTGTTGTTGTTGTTGTTGCTCATAAAACAAAGTTCTAAAAGCAAAGTACAATTCATGAAGCCACACTGAGTTTCCCTTCTCACAGCTGAACATGGTTAAATGGTTTAAGTCTAATAAGAGTTAAAGATTCACTGATTTCAGAAAACCTAATGATTTCTGCATTTGTCTCGACTGTATTACATTTTAAGTCTACCTAAAATAGCACCTTCACTCTCATCTCCACTGTCCTAGGCATTCTGTCTCATTACCCTGGTATTTCCATCATAGCATTTACCACAACCAGAAAGTATCTTTGTTTATAGTCTGATTCTTCTTCCCCTGCTTCTTTAGAATGCAAGCTCCGTGAGGACTGGGACTTGTCTGTCTTCATCACTGGACCCCACATCTCCAATGGCTATAACTGAGCTGCCATATAATAACTTCTCAATACAAACTTGAAGAATGAGTGATTTAATCATGGAGAAGAGGTATCATCTAAAATTCTAGCATTATTTACACTGGGCTTTGGTTTGTTTATTTGAGTAAGACAGGTTTATATAATGCTCTAAGACTTCACAACACGTCAAATAAAATAACAAATTCACAATGCACAAACTGAGAAACTCCTTTTCAAATAAGTTTTTAAATACTCAGAATTAACTTTTGATATCCTCTGCAATTACATTCATCTTAAGATGGACAAGGTTCTCTTAATTTTTAACTAATTTATGATTGTTATCAGTCATTTAATTAATAAATACTGCTTCCCAACTTTGTGGAGGGCATTATGGGTAATTAACCACAGATCTTGCCCTGACAAAGCTTAGAAATCAGTAGAAGAATGGCATGGCCACAGTTGTACCCTGGGAAGATTAACTGCATCTCAGTATTTTAGTGGACTGGGGGCAGGGAGACCAGTTAGAGGCTATTACAGTAATTACTTCAAGATAGAGGTTTATGGAAGGTCTGACTTAGGACAGTGAATGATTAAAACAAATAAATATAAAATAAAAAATAATGTAAAATAGAAATGGTAAATGCTCTATGCTTTTACACATTTTAAGAGTTTATCACGGAAGGCTGCCTGGGTGGCTCAGTTGGTTGAGCATCTGACTCTTGATTTCAGCTCAGGTCATGATCCCAGGGTTGTGGGATAGAGCCCCATGTCGGGCTCAGCACTGAGCACAGAGCCTGCTTGGGATTCTCTCTCTCTCTCTCTCTCTCTCTCTCTCTCTCTCTCTCTCTCCCCCCCCCCCCCCCCTCCCCCCATCCCTCTCCCCCACTCATGTGCTCTCTTTAATAAAAAAGTTTTTCATGGAATATTATCAGTGCTGAAACACTGTTACTTTCTTAATTACAGGTGAAGGACAACCTGGGTGAACAAGTGTTTCCATTCTTGCATATAACATTACGAAGTAGTGATCTATCTTCATATTACAGATGAGTAATTTGTCAGATTAGACAAAAATACCTGAGTGTTTAAGACTATACTTTTGTACCTAGATCTTACCACCAGCACTAACTGGTTAACTATACCATTTGGATTTTAGCTAGGGTTTCTAAAATCAAACACTGACAGCTCAAAAAATTAAGTACATAACTTCATTTCTCAAACTGAACTGGGAGCACGAGACTATAAGCCATGAGTCCTGAGGAATATTTGAAAAGTCTGTATTTTCATCTTGATAATTTGTTTTAAACAGTGCACTCTGGATCATCTGAATAACTACCTCATACCCACAATCAACGGTACTAGATTAGTGTGGTCTAAAAAAAAGGTACAGAAGGGTCTTACAAGGTAAATGATACATTTATGCTAAGTAAAAGCCAAACCATCTGTGATTCAAGAAGGAAAGCTTTGCAGCATTCAAACAGAGAAAAGTGGTGAGAGAACTGGATTATCACAGGATATATAGTATGTAGAAAACTGCACACCTTGCCAAGCCAGGCAATAGTATTTTCACTATGCAAAGAAAGAGTTTGTTTCAGCAAAACAACATCATCCATTACCCTAAATTTAATTTGTTTAACTGGCTTTACAGTTTTGTTTATATTTCATTTATAAATCTACTTGCGTTTTATACTTACATAAAAGCGATAAACATAAGGAATTTATATACATCTAAAAATTAAATATTTTAATAAAACTATTTAGGCCAATACTAAAGATCTACCTATTTTTTTCCCTTTAAAGGGAAGACTATATATATTATTCCTGCTTAAGACTAACATGGTGGGCAGATCAAGGGGATTCAAATCAGGAAGATTTGTTTCCAAATGTTGGCTCTCCTCCTGTTTAACACGTAACCCTAAGCGGTAATCTCTCTAAGCCTCCGTTTCCTTGCAGGTTTGGCGTGATTTTGATGGAGAAAGAAGAAAAGAATTTTCATTTGAGTTATAGTGTGCCACATTCAATATTCTATCAAACAGCAGGACTTAAGTTCGGCATCTTTGATGTCTCTCCATAGAACAATTAATCTGTAATATACATGCAGATTACACCTTCACTATGTCTCCCTCTTACTGCAACCAAGAATTTCCAAATCTCCGAAATTTGGAACCTGCTATAGTATCTCTACTCCATCTCCTTTAACCTACAACACATTCTACAGAAAAGCTACAGAATGTATCTCTCGAGCGCATCTCTGAGGTTGTCACTCTCCTATTTTAAAATATTCTGTAACTGTCTGGGTTTCTGGCTGGCTCAGTCGGAGGAGCATGTGACTCTTGATCTCAGGGTGATGAGTTCAAGCCCCACGTGGGGTGTAGAGGTTACTTAAATAAAACTTGTAAAAAATTAAATTTTCTGTAACTCTCAAGGCCTTCTGCATTAAAGCTCTACCTAACCCATCCTTCCAACTTTACCTCCCATTGATTCCTAAACTGAAAGTTTCCTGAGACAATGATCTGAGGTATCCTCTACTCCTAGCACAGAATGTGACACATAAAAGATATCCAATAGTAACACTTGAAATAAGCAATGAAAATCTATAATGCTACTCTTCCCAAAAAAAGACCCTAGACAATCTTGGGTGGCATAACTCTTCCTTCATCTCTAACACACTTTTAATTAGTAATAGACGATTGTTCTAACTATAACGAAGTGAAAACTGGCCTTTAAAGGCAATCACAAAGAATCACAAAAAGACAGTAGTCCTCTGTGATGAAAAGAAAAGTAAAGCCAATGAAAAAGCATTTTAATCCCTGTCTTTATTTTTAACTACTTTTTAAATTCTGAGTTTTGCTACTAACTTAGCAGCCAATTGACATATACCAAATAATTGCAACATAAAAGCTTTAAGAAAAAAAACAAATCCCAACTGGATAATACAAGATCAGACAAACGACTAACAAAAAAATTCATTAACTAAAGCTTCTGAGTACCTCCACAGTTCCCCTAAAATTTTTTTGGTCCCTTATTCTTTTAGTGAGTGAAAGCCAAATGCCTAAGCTACTTACACACATGCACACAAAATATTTCTCTTCTGAATGAAACACATAATGTATGATACTGTATGTCATTCTATGACATCATCTCTTTGTAGGGCACTTGGATAAGGAAAATTTCTGCTAATCATAAACATTACCAGTGGGCATTTCTTAAATATTCACCTCTCTGTTCAGGCTCATAGGGTCAAATGTCACTGACCCAACCTTCCACTACAAAAGCTGGAAAAACTAGAGGGCTCAAACTAATGTATAAAAATTCTATTCAAATGTAACTTTTCAGTAACACTACTGGTGTATGGAAGCAGAAACACTCCTGAGGGATCTGTAGCACAATTTAAAACATACCTGGATCTTTAGGTAACCAAACAAATTTAAACTTCAGCCATGATAAAGTCAATCATTCCAATGCTCCAGCTCTTTAAACAAAGAGCTAACAAGTCCAGTATTCAGAATAAAGCAGAGGTCTCAATTCATCTCTACCAACTTAATGCCCAGCCATCACAACTTCCTTAACAACGAAGGTAAAACTTAGGAGTCAAAATAGAACTCCCACAGCTGTATTTCCCTTGGATTATAAAATCTACATATTGCAAAATATTCCATAACTTTAGTCTCCAAATTCATGAAATGGAGGGGGAAGCAGGGAAAAACATGGACATAAAATGTGATTGACAGTGTCTCAATTGTTATTTGCCAAATGTCAGGGGCAAAAGGGGTCACTCTATGGATGACAGAGCCATAAACGAAAAAGACAATATTTTTAATTGTTACAAAACAGGTCCATATGTTCAAAAAATGTGAGCATCCACACCCCAACAAGTTACAGACTACGATCTAAGACACAGAGCTTAAATGCAGAATAAAATGCCTATGCTCTGCCTCCCTAAAGAAACATAGAACCCCATAAACTGAACATCACCACACCAACACCCGCCACAGTGAATGTTTTAAATATGAAGTCAGGAAATCATGATAAGTGCTAGCGGTTCCTCTAGGCCTCAGCAGCAGCCTTGGGTATAAGAGCAAACTCGAGCCCTCTTAACACTCAGAGAATAATGTTGATGTCATTACGAGGCTACTGATTCTTTGCACTCTGGACTAGTCATTCCTTGATCCACAACGCCAATTCCTCCCTTACCCACTATCCCCCTAAATAATAGAGATCTCAGTGCAGAGAAGCCCTCGGATACCCCCTTCCCCTCTACCTCCAGCGGTTGCCGCTTTCTCCTCCCTCTGGCTCCGAGGTGGGGGCTCCAGAAGGTCCCGGGCAATTCCGAGCCCGGGCGGTGCTTGTTTTGCCTGTGCACGGTAGCTCCGGGCAGCCGCTTCCTTTCCCAGTCTGCCCGGACTCGAGCGCTACAGGGGACCCGGGGGCCGAGGAGGGAGCCCGGGTGGCGACGCAGCCGCTGCCGCCGCCTCTGGTATGTCAGGGGCCGGGATTGTATTTCGAAAGATCCGCCATTTTCACCTCGTCATCACCATCACAGCTCAGCAGCTTCCCCGACAGCCCGAGCCCGGGCCGCCGCCGCCGCCGCCGCCGCCAGTAACCTCCCCCTTCCTCCTCCTCCCCTCCCCGGCCCTCCCCTCCGGAGAGGCGCACACCCACATATCCGGGGAAACCTCCCGCCCGCCCCGCCAACCTTCAAATGCACAGGGAGATACAAACGCACACACAGCCCACGCCAAGACCTTTCACCCCACAGCGAAAAATGGTGCTTCTGCGGGCCCGGCAGCTACGCGAAAGGAAGTCGCTTTACCTGCTGAGTCCCAAGTCCGGCATATTTTTGTTTTGAAGAGCAAAAGCCACACGGAAGGCGGCATATGGACAATGAAGAACCCAAACTCTTTCATTTTCGGTAAAGCAACTAGAGACAGATGATGGAATGCGTTTTATTCACTGTGCTCATTTCTGATACTAAAACCATGATCAAGACCTTTAATGTCATTAACCGACTGACGTTTTCCTCCACTTCAGCACTACTTTGACAGAACGACCCATTTCCATACGCACGTCTGATCTTTCTGTAATTGCATTTGTAAATTACAGGCACTGCTGATAATGTGGTCAAGACGACTAATTTTAA